ACAGAGCAAGATCTGGGGCAGGACATCTGCAAATGAACAGACTGCTCGGATGAGCCATGGACTGCTTCAGCATTTTCTTTCTTGATGTTGCATGAGAGACTTGAGTACCCATGTCCCAAGGCTTTTTTCTGTGTCTCCTTGCACCTCTCTGAGTTGGCAATAGCACTAAGCTATAGCGTCCCTCAAGTAAAATAAAGAAAACATGTTTTTAAAATGCACCAGTGTCTCTAACATAACACGTTCCTCACATTGAAAAGTAAACAGAGACAGGGGGGGTATGTGTGTGAAAGGAGCAAGGCTGAAATGTTGAATGGTTTCTTATAGTATTCCTTAATGTCGAGGGAGGAAGGTGCTAAATAACTAGTGCAGGCGTGTTTCCCTTTGTTAACACACCCAACATCTGCGATTCTGCTGCTTGCTGAGATGTGGAATCCCTCCCAGTTGTCCCAGCAGCTCAGAATCCTGACAGAGGAGGAGATGGAGAAAATAGCAAAGGAAGAGCAGCTGTGAGTTTTCAAACATAGTTTCCATTTGTTCTGGATGCCCATAGCAAAAGAACCTTGGGTTTTGGCAGTAACCAGCCTGAACATGTTTTCTTCAATTTGTTCTGTGAGGCGACGTGACACGTCAATGGAAGGCAGTGTGTCCACGCACACCAGCCTGCCCTGAGGTTGCCCCATCTCCACTGATACCCATCAAAGCTAAGTGCATAAAAACTTTCTATCTTTTTCTAAGAATCTTTTTCAATTGGACTCCAAGACTTACTTCACCACACTCTGAAAGCAGATTTTGAGCCCGAGGACTGGATTTGTGTGATAATGAGAGTGGTTAATGAAACAAAGTAAAGGGCCCCTTGGATCAGACCAATGAACCATTTCGCCCCATGTCTGCCTGGAGTGGGCAAATAGAGGACACTAGCAGCCGTTATACATGGGTCAGTCAGTAACAGAACATCCTGGTCAGCCTGGAGGTTTCTTTTTGACTTCTCACTTTGGGACTGATGCGCATCTCATTGCCTTGGAGTTTCCTCTTTCTTTTCAAATAGGTTGGATTGCCATTATTTAAAGAGCATTTTTGTTTTCTGTTTGATTTGTCCTGAAGTTCTTTATTTTGCATTTGCTTTCTCTCCCCTTGCTCATTTC